GAACAGACCTGAAACCCTGCATGTTGACATTGGCTGCTGGGTCTGCCCAGCGTCTTCCGGGTAGTCCTGAGAGGTTCCCATGTCTTAGTCTTGCTTGAGGATTTCTGCCGGACGACAGGTCACGCGCCACAGCGGGCTGGCGCGGCTTCGACAACGCTTCCCTACAGTGGACTGGTGCAGCATCGTGGCCTGGCGCGTGACTGCGGCAAGCGCATGTGCGGCCTGCTTCATGGGAGCCATTGTGCGAGCCTCAAACCGCAACAGACAGGTGTTGCATCTTCCTTCGCAAAGAAGGAGACGATTTGCGAGAGACCGCAGGCAGCCGGCATCTCTAGTCGTTTGCTTGTTGATGTTCTTGTTCGGACTCGCGGGGGTCTTTCGCGGCAGATCAGTGAATCTTCGCCTTGACTTGACAGTGACAAGCACCACTCGGAGAGACTCCGCACGAATCCTCGCATACTGGCACCAAGGATTCCCGGGATTGAGAGCGCTTTTGCCAAGTGCCCACCTGCTGATGCTTTTCTCCGCAAGCTCTCCGGGGATCTTCGTCACCGAGATTCAGACTCTCTTGCCTTGTGCACGTCGCGTGAGCCGTCGCTCCAAAGAAGCATCTCCAGCCTTCCGTCAAGCTTTGCACACTGCATGGGTCAAGCGAAGTGCCTTCTGTCAAGCCCATGGAGTCCATACTGGCGCGGCCGAGTCGCAAAGTGCCGCTGCCCCCGGCACTTCCGTCATCTCCCAGCCAATTTCGCTTCATGAAAGAGATGAGAGCCCTCTTCTTGAAAGGGCAGACGCGGCAAGGAAAGCTCGAGGCTCCACACAACTCGCACGACCCATTAGTTGCAGGAGGGGACAGACAGCTAGGAATGCGCATCGGTGGCCGAGACTGCAGTCTGGTTTCACCAACTTGCTTTAATGTGTCATGGAGCTACTTCTGGAAGTCTTCATTTGGTGTGGAAGCCCCTCGCCCCGCAGTTAGGATGTCTCTGTTCTTCCTTCACTCGCAAAAGCGGTCCGGTTGGTGGGAAACCTACAAGACCTCGGGTGGAAAGATGCAGGAACAGGCAGGAGCGCGTGCTCCAGGGGAGCTCGCTGCACCCACTGGAAGTCCTTTAGAAAGCCTTCGAGCCCTACAGCGGCAATCAAAAAGCACCAGCCCTCTCAGCTTTGCTGGATGTCCCAGAAAACCCAGAAGCGCAGCTAGATCTCGCCACCAGCCTGCAACGGAGATCAGCCCCCGAGGCCTTTGAAGGGCTGAGGCCTGAAGCAGATTCCTTCCTAGCAACCGCCACCGCCGTGTTTTGTCAGGGATGACGTCGTGCTGTCGTGTAGTAGTCTAGCAGCACACGTCGGTTGGGTGACTCCTCCCTTGTCATTGCACCTTCATGCCTGTGGCAGCTCGTCGTCTAGCATCCGACACTGCACCTCTCAGCCCCGTTTCTGGGAACGCAGTGGACCACGGTTCCAGTAAGTCTTCCCTGAGCTGCAGGGTAGAATCGGTAGAAAGTCTCGGGCGGGAACGTCCCCTCGTTCTTTGAGAGCTCGAACTGCTCGAACTCTGGAGGCTTTGATTTTGAACCGGACCGAGGGTGTTCCGGCATTGCGAAAGGCAGGCTTCTGGCAGGCGCATGACCCAGGCTCAGACGAACAGGGGCGAGTCTTGCAGTTGCATTTGCAAGACGCGTTGTTTTTCTGGGGTGAGGGCCCGGGCTGTGATTGCTCGGTGACGCATTGCATCGATAGCACGCCCTTGAACGATGTCGTTAAGCCAGCAGGGCCATGCTTGGGGTTTGCCAAAGCAGCAGCTTTTATTTCGAGCCGAAGGCCGTGCTGAACTCGAGGTTGGCAGACCGCATCAAAGTGTCGGATCGGACCCTGGCCCTTGGCAATGTCACGTGCACTCCGCCATGTCCGGACTGGGCGGCGACGCGACACTCAGATGCCTTGACATGGATTTGATCACTGCGTTCCTCGCACTTGCAGCTGGCCGAGCGCTGGCAGCACTTGACATGACCGCTTCCTGGAAATGAGCGACGGTCTTTGGATGAGCATACTTCCAACGTGGCCGAAAATGTAACTCCGCCACATCAGCTCTTGAAGACAAGGCACAGTTTAGAAGGATTCGAGACGGCGAGTCTCCCTCCCATCCGCTCCATCCACGAGGTTGCTGGGATGACGTGCTTGGATGGTGAGCTGTGCCAGGCTACGGGTAGAGTATTGACCCCTGAACCCGAACCCCCACTGGCCTCTCGTGGTGCCGCTGCAAACGAGGCCCAGGAGGTTTTCTTAGGTGTTTTGGCTTCGAGGCACGCAAGAGCCGGTGCTTTGGCGTTCATTCTTCGAGGACTTCCTGGTAGCACCCAGTGACCTAGTAAGGGAGGAAGGGAAGTCCCGTAGCATGCACCGTCTTGGGCAAGTGCAGCTGGCCTTACCCTTGCTGTCCTCTTGCCGTCTTCCTTCAGCTGCATCGGAAACAGTGTAACGGGGGCTGGTGAGACCCGACGGCCTCATTGCATCGCGAGGCCCAAGCCCGCACGGCCCGCACAGCTCTTGCGCTGCGCCACGTAGGAATCAAGACGACGCTGAAGGGCGGGCACCATGGAGTGAGATGTGGGTTCTGCGGAAGCGTGGATTTTCGTGGAGCTCGGGGCACAAGCAGTTCCTCCTCTCTCCTTGCGGGGAGTGATTCTTTTCTTTGTAAAGGCCTTGCAGCGCAAATCGGCGTCTGGCAAGGCAAATGCTCCATCAACAACTCAAAGCGTCCCAGGCCGTAGCCAGCATGACCCAGCAGACCCGCATAGCTTCTACTCTTGCGCCTACCTTGCCGTCTCTTCCTGACTCTGCCCTGTTCCGCGAGAGATACGGCAAATACGCTTCATGGAGGTCGTCTGCACAGGCTAATATGAGGTTCAGATGCAACTCGCAGGTCATACGTCGGTGTGACGACTTCACCCTGCGAAAGGTCTGATCGGCGAAAGGCTTCCGATTCTGCCGACGCCGACAATACCCCAATGCCGCCTGGTGCGTTCGGTATGCCTGCACGTGCATGTATGACTTGGGTATGGTTCTGCGATGGCCAGGCAGGATTCTGCAATGTGACTTCTTGCAACATGTGGCTTGTGCGGTTCAAAAAATGCAGAAGATCCAAGCCCATTCAACAGGGCAACACTACTGCAGACCGCAATATCTTGCTTCGCACCAGTCGCATGGAGAGTGCGGCAAGAGCCAGCTCCCCAGAGCGCGACAAAAAGCATTCTAGGATATTCCGGGGTTTCTTAAAAACGGCGCTCATGGAACCATGGAGCGATATAGATCCGCCTGGAACTCAAACCTTAGGCGCGCAGCCTCCCACTCGTCGCCTCGGTGACACTCGCTGTCCGGTCGTCCCATGTGTTGCGCCTGTGCCTGCCACGTGGCTTGTTCCTACAAGTGCTAATTACTTGTAAAGTCCCGCAGCATGCACCGTCTTGGGCAAGTGCAGCTGGCCTTACCCTTGCTGTCCTCTTGCCGTCTTCCTTCAGCTGCATCGGAAAACAGTGTAACGGGGGCTGGTGAGACCCGACGGCCTCATTGCATCGCGAGGCCCAAGCCCGCACGGCCCGCACAGCTCTTGCGCTGCGCCACGTAGGAATCAAGACGACGCTGAAGGGCGGGCACCATGGAGTGAGATGTGGGTTCTGCGGAAGCGTGGATTTTCGTGGAGCTCGGGGCACAAGCAGTTCTTCCTCTCTCCTTGCGGGGAGTGATTCTTTTCTTCCGGACTTGGGTGCCAGGGGCAGGGGCGGCGTCGCCGTCGTGCCAGTTTGGGCCCTCATTTGTAAAGGCCTTGCAGCGCAAATCGGCGTCTGGCAAGCTAAATGCTCCATCAACAACTCAAACCGTCCCAGGCCGTAGCCAGCATGACCCAGCAGACCCGCATGGCTTTTACTCTTGCGCCTACCTTGCCGTCTCTTCCTGACTCTGCCCTGTTCCGCGAGAGATACGGCAAATACGCTTCATGGAGGTCGGCTGCACAGGCTAATATGAGGTTCAGATGCAACTCGCAGGTCATACACCGGTGTCTAACATGACAAGACTGACTTGTCTTGACTCGGTGTTAGTTAAACGGGTCCGCCAAGACGTGATCCGTGAAACCCGAGGTACTTAGCTCCTGCGGCAACCGCCAGATGCTGCAGAGCCGCTTTCAGAAAGCGAAGTCTCAACTGGGCTTTAGCCACGTGGAACTGGCAGTCTTCCAGTAGCTCTTCGGTTTTGGAGACGATCCTTCTAGAGCTTGGAGCCAGAAGTGCCAAGCTGTCGCGTAGCTGAGGGCCCTCCGACCGCTCAGACACAGTGCTCCGCAACGCACGGGCTCGGCTTGCAGCTACAGCCCGGGATGTCACTGAGGGAAACTGTTCCTTGACATAGAGTCAGCTTGCGGGCTCTTCGCTCGGTTTCCTCCGTGATCTTGGCCCAGATTCCCGGTCCTGGAAGCTCGTAGAAAGCGAGGCTGAGGCCCCGAGGCCCCCCCGAATGCTCCGCGGGCTTCGGCTTTGGGACTTGGGACGCTTGGATCGCACGTTGTCGATTAAGAGAGCTCCCACACACAGGCTGAGGCCCTAACGGAGTCGAACGAGCTGCAAGTGCATGCCGTGGTCGCCCAAGCAGCGGCTTGCCAGGCAAGTGTTAGTCAAGTCGAAGCCGAGGTTGCTTGTGACGGTGCCATGCTGCTGCAGCACGGTTTTGTGCCTGACACAACCTTTTTCCTAGACAGCTTCCTTGTCGAGAAATGTGAACGGCTTCGAATCGACATTCAGCACATGGCGTGTATCAAAGCGTGTCGGCACTTCGAAGCTACGGCCTAAACGATCGCGGCGCAGCTAAGTAGCTCAAAGACACACCAGGGGCACGAGAACATGGGCATGTTGATGATGATGATCTCTGTCGGACGGTAGCCTTCTCCCCGAAAGGTAGCTCTCCGCCCCCACAGCGCCGAAGCGCCGGAAGTGCATAATGCCAAGCTAACACGGTCCATCCGCACCACCTTCAGTGGGCGAAATGGCCAAAATCTCCCTGGCAAAGTCATGAGCATAAAGCCCGCGCACTGCCTCCATAGCCTTAGCCGTGGCACGCCACTGGCAAAGGGAAGCAGTCTCGGCCCAATGTCTTCCTTCGCTGATTCTTCCAACGGCCTGAGCAAATTCAGGATGAAACCCCTTCGTAACGGCGCCAGCCGCCTCATCCGCCCACTGATTGTACAGACGGCACAGAGAAGCCGGAGGCCACCCTTGCGGCGGCTGCCACTGCGCAAGCTTGCCGTGAGACGGCACCCACTCTATGCTAGTGTCAGAAGGGATCAGAAGAGCAATGGATGCCCAAAAGGCGGAACAATCGCCCTCCCAAGACCCTAGCAAACCCCTACGAACCCGAAGAACAACCCCCTCGTTGTCGCACAGCAGACGGAGAGACCGCACCTTGGCAGCGTGTGCCGCCGCAACGGCTTGCCAGAGCGCAGCTCGCTCCCCGGCAGCAGGCGTGTGTTCAAGATCAGGCACTAAACCCGAAAACTTACACCCCTCAGTGGAAGCCACGCCCCACGCAGCGCGCTGGTGGGTCGCGGCAACCGCAGACACAAGGCAACTCCCATCGATTGCCAGCAGCACCGGCTCGCACGTGTCCCTCAAATGAGCGACGAGCTCCGGATCAGGCACAGGCGGTGCAACCGTGCTGCGAACGGCCATAGGAACAAGCGGCACAAGAGTGCGGCGCTCATCGGCCGACCTTTTCTTCAACAGCCAGGGCACAGCAGGACAGTCAAAAGTGGCGTGATGCCGGTCGTATTCGCTGGCCCCACAGACGCAATTTGCAGGCAGCTGCAATCTCGCCAACTGCCTGCCATCGGCAGCGGCTCCCGACACAACCCGAAGCAAGTACCTGTCAACACCACGAGCCGCGAGGCGGCGAGCGACTGCAAAGTCAGGGTGGAGTCCGTCAGGCAGGCCCTGTTCCACCTTCGAGTCCGACTCCCACATAACGCGCATCCACGACTGCTCGGCAAGGAAGCGCACATGCTTAAGGGAAACCCAACCAGGCCTAACCAACCCAAAAGGTGTGTCCCAACCGAAAGAGCTAACCCGCCACCCAAACAACTCGAAGGCTGCAGCGGCCCGGGGGCCGGGGCTGGTTGCTTGCAAGGCGTGAGAGCTGGCGTGGCGCCTCCACTCCCACATGAGCGCAGACAAAGCCAGAGCGAAAACAGGATGCAGGCCGGGTGACGCGATGGCACACCAAAACAGTGCACGAGAGCGTCCAGTTGGCGGAGGGCCGCCCCAAACAGCATGCTCAATGATGCGAGCCCAGTCAGTCATCACTGTCTGCGTGAACTTTTGCCACGGTCCCAGCCACCTGAACAAGGTCACAACTAGCGACAGCAACAAGGCGATGCGAAGCGAAACACTTCTGGCCGCCATGGTGATGCGCTTGGCACGCCGGCGCATGACCTCAGTAAGCCGTCCGGCACAAGTGCAAGCATCAGCCCTAACATGATAAGTGACGCCAAGAAGTTTGAAGGTGTCTTGGGGAGTGCCTACGAGCTCGGCCTCCTCAAACAAAGCTTCCCTGGCATCCTGCGTGGTGCCAAAGCATTCGAGTTTGTCCTCGTGGGTGGTCAATCCCAGGTCCGCATCGAGGGCCTTTGCAGTCTTCGCGGCCTGAACAACAGCTTCAACCGCCGCCGAGCCGGAGCTCCAGAGAGTTCTGTCGTCAAGAAACAGAGCAACCTTGACCATCGGAGTCTCACGTTTCAGAGCCCATAACCACACAGCCATCAGGGAGTTCAGCAAAGCAGGCGAAGCCGGGCAACCTTGGAGTAAGCTGCAGGTGCTAGGCACGGCACGTGGGCAGTAAGCACCCCTCACCGACAGCCAGCGTACTTGTCCGGCATAGTAGTGCTCAATGAGGCCGCAGAGGGCCCGCGGGGCGCCCAGCCACCTCCACACCAGAGTGGCAAGCTCCGGACTGGTGGAGTCGAAGCACCGCTTGATGTCCGCCTTGCAACCAACCATCAGCTTCTTATCGCGGTGAGCAGCGAACAAGTCCTGGAAAATGGCGGAGTGAACGGTGTGGATAGAAGCATCCGGCACCCCTCCACACAACTCCGGCGGGACCCACGACCGCACCCAACCTCGTAGGGCACGCATTGTAACTGCCATGCACAGCCGCCACCCCGCCGTAGCGATAGACAGCGGCCGAGTACCCCCGGATGCCTTGGCAATGAGAGTAACCCGGATCTGCTTCCAAGCAACCGGCAGGACCTGATCCCTAAGGCAAACATCCCAAAGAGCACCCAAAGCCAGAAAGAAAGAAAACCCTAAACAAGCGAAGTGGGCCGGTCGCCACCCGTCCAATCCGGCAGCGCGCTTCCGCGATTGCTTCGCACGCGCTTGAAGGGCAGCAGGCGACGTAGGCGGAAGCTCCCACTCGGGCCTCGGAGCACCCAGTTCGGCACACAACTTTGCAACCTTCTCGGCATCGGGGCGCTGAACCGGGCACCACTGCCTCTCCCATGTGCGCGCGGCCTCGGTGGCTTGGGCAGTCGGGTCCGGGTCCAGCACTTTGTGGTGTGCCGGCGGCTCCTCAACGGGCACGGCTTGGCCAATCCAAGCACTCAGTTTAGCGGCATCCTCCTGAATCTCGCGCTTCCAGCGAGCGACCCGGCGATCCCTGCACTCACGGGCGGCTTGCTCAGCAAGCTGGTGAAAATGCTGAGCCGCCTCAGCAGTAGCAAGCGGCATCGTGGGCCACACCTCTTCAAAGTCCCGCCTGGCGGCCAAAATCCGTTTGGCGAGGCAATGGTCGTCGGGCTGCTTGGCTAACTCCGCAGTCCGCCGAGCCAGGCGTCGCAAGCGTCTCTCCCGAAGAGACTGGAAAGAGGGCGCTTTGCCCGAGTGCATTGCCTCCCGCCGAGGGCCGGCGACGGCAGACCTAGCGCAGTATTGCTTCACAGTCTCCTGCGCAAGAGTCCGCTCAGCAGCGCCGCTGAGCAAATGCCATGCCTCGTCAATTTCGCCCGCAGCCAAATTCTCAGCAAAGCGCTCGCTCACGGGATTCCAAACAGTCTCCCAGGCAGCTGAAGCCTCAGAATCTTGCAAAGGCCTGTAGCGCGTCCAAGCGTGCTGCACTGGCCGGCTGGCGACCTGAAGGTCGTAGGCCACGAGGTCGTGGTCCGCCGGCCCCCGCAACTGCAGCCTACCAGAAGTAACTAAACCCCTAGTGCCAACCCCAAAATCAATAGTGTAACCCGTCAGTTCGCCGTCAGGGTCCCTGTGAGTCCCCTGCGGCTCGAGGACATGCAAATCGTCCCAGCACACAATCGCCCCACTGCTGCAGGCCGATGATAACGGCCAACGAGAGACTTCAAGATTGTAGTCGCCCAGCAAAGCGAACTCCTCGCCGGTTGCTTTGAGCCACTCCAACAGAAAAGCAGCAAGATAACCGGCCTCGGTAACGCTGGATGCCGGCAGATAGGCATTGGCGAGGAGAAAAGGCCGACAGCTAGGCCTGTGAACTTTGGCAACCAGAAACCTACCACGGCACCTGGGATCATCAGGAGCAGCAACAACCTCGATAGGCCATTGCGACAGGAATGCAACACCTGCAGTAGGGTTACCCCGGCTATCGAAGGTTTGAGGCCCCGGCACGAATTGCCAGCTGGCAGCGCGCGCACCACTAGTGGCCGCACTCACACCTTCATCCGCAAGTCTGGTTTCCTGCAAGCACACAATGTCAAGATCGGCATGAGCAGCCAACTCGAGCACCGCAGGTAGTCTCCCCGACAGAGTACGGACGTTGAGCGTCCCCAATCGCAATCGTGAACAAGAGCCCGTCATGGCTCCTGAACCCCGGCTTCCGGCTGCAGGCGCCGTAGCAAGGCGCTGGCGGTGTTTCCAGCAGTGCCGCCCTCGCTGGCGAGCGCGCGCAGCTTGGCGAGCTGACCCTTAGAGTACTGTGACCACGCCTCGCCCACACATGGCTTGTTGCGAAAGGCCCCAGCGGTGACATGGATGCGCCGGCACAGAGAGCACAGGAAGCGCACAGAGAACCCCCCGATAGGCCACGCGATGGCCTCGAGCCGATGCTCACGCGGCTCGGCAGCGACGGCTTGCTGGTTGAGCTGCTTGATGATTTCAACGGCCCGCATCGTGTTGTCACGCACCTCCTCGGAGAGATCGGTGCGCTCGAGGGCCGCAGTGAGCCTCTCAACAAGCTGCTTGCGCTTGGGGCCCTTGCTCACAAACGATCGGCAAGGAGCATTGGCGATGTCCTTCAGCCGCGCTGCATAAGCCCCACACTTACGACACAACACCCTGTACAAAACCCGATTCTTCTTGGCCTTTCCTGTCGGTGGCGTAGCAACTCGGATAGGATCATGCACGCCAGCCTCACCCTTCTTCAACCGCATGAGGTGGCTTGCCGCACCCTTGTTGCGGACCGCCTTGGTGGCGACCGGAGCATTGTTTGCCCGAACAAGCAGAAAGTGAGCCCTGGGCTTATCAGGATGATGCTGTTCGCGATGGTGCAGGCGAGCATGGAGGCGGCTGTCCGCCGATCCTTCGGTCCCCTGGCCTTTGTCACAGTACCGGCATTTCCAGATGCAGGCTGGCGTCCACGGCAAGAGCCCAACAGGCCTGCGAAGGGAAAGCATCGCACGCAAGTCAGGGTGCCATCGCATGATGTGCAGGCGTTTGTTGATGCTCCAATACTTACCAACCGCAACGAATCCGCACTCATCGCACCTCCACTTGGAGTGAACCGGGCGAAACCTGCGGCGTTTGTGGCCCGCCACCGGGGCTGGCGGGGGAGGTATGTCGACCTCACCGTCAATGTCACTGGCGATGTCAGGCGCAGATGTCGCCGCAGATGCCCGTGCGAAGAAGGAGCGAATGTCGGATCCGGGCGGGCTCGTGGCAGGATGGTGAGGCGAAGACCGCTGGCTCTGAATGTCACCAACCGTGTCACCCGACCGGGAGGCATCAAAAGTGCTCCTAAACCACCTAAGCCACACAGCATCCTCAGGCAGGAGAGGCCCCTCACACGCCCCAGCAACTTCCGAAGCGGCTCCTTGCTTCAAAGCAGTGGCGAGTGCGGCGGAGGACTCCAGCAGGCAGCGCGCGAGAGGCCCGGCTCGCGAAGACTCAGAGCCTCGCAACTTGGCAATGGCACATTGCACAGCATTTTCCCCCCCGGCAACCCCCCAGTTTCGGCCTCGAGAATCGGGGGTTGCCTCAGCCGAGTTTTGGGCCGATTTGGGCCCACACCCAGACCCCCCATTTGGAGACGAAATCGGTGGTCTGGGTTGAGCCTTCGGGCGCTTGGGCACAGGCACCGGCCTGTCTTGCGAATCGCGAGTCCACATAGTCCAGGCTGAGTCAGCGACAGAGGCTGCATCATCGGGTCCCCCACCCCTGGCACTCCGCATATCCGGAGCACTGCAAATGTTGGTGATGGCACTGGGAAAACCCTGATCCTTGGCAGAAGGCTTCAACCAATCGAAGTGTTGGCCCGTGAACCAAAGGGCAACGCGAAACGTCCCCCCCTGGTTATGCACAACCGGCGGAAGGTCACCATCCCTAGGCACTACGAAAATTTCGAGATTGTAGGCTCGGGCTGCCGACTCTATCTCGAGCGGTCCAGCCCAAACCCCGTCTCCTTGCATGTGACTAAGGTAAGCCGGAAAGTCAGCCAGCTCCTTGCCACCGGAGTCGGTCCGGTCCCACCACGCCTCAAAAGTCGCAGCATGCTTCCGTTGATAAGCAATGATTTCGGCTCGCAAGACCGAATGATCCCTAGGCTTACCGCTGCGGACGAAAGCAACGGCATCAGACAGGCAATGATAGAAGCAATTGCCATCGGCACTAACCTTGACAAGCTCGACGCCCTGCGGCACCTCCCGGATGCGAACCTCCTGAGCCTGTCGCTTGGGTGGTGGGATGGCTTTACCGTCAGCATCCTGCACGTCAGCACTCGGGGTAGCCTGAGCCTTGCTCGTGACGTGAAAGGTATCCTTAGCGAATCTGAAGGGCCCGGCATTTCGCATCGGCTCGCGAGCCCATGCAGCGCCTCGCGATGGCCGCGAAGGCAGCACCCAGTAGATGCGTTGCTGTTTGTCCTCAGTGGTGGTGGCCAACTGCACGCAATCAATGTCGCGTGGAGCCGTGGCCCGCAAATCCCAGCTACACAGCCTGCCTCGCACAACGCGGCGAGTGACGCGCACACCTGTGAGCTTGGACTGCTCCGCGATGAGCCCAGAAACAAAGTCCTCAGTCCAATCCAATGGAGTTTTGTCCAAGCGCCAGCTGCGCTCCGTGACGCCATCCTTGGCACACTCCCTCCGAACACCCAACTGGCGGTCGCCGCAAACAACCCCTAGGGAAGGTTTGCCGTTGACCAACCTTTCCAAATGCTCAGTGGGCTTTTCGCCCGGCTGCGCATCAGACCACTCGACCGTGACGGGCTCGGTCATGCCGCCCACCGGCTCAACGAAAACTCCTGAGCGCCCGGACTTAGCCAAAACCGATTTCCGGACTGCAGTTGGCACTCGAATCAATCCGATGATGGCCTCCTTGCCTCCCCGCTTTTCTCTGGCAAAGCCCCAGCAATCCTTCAAGTCCCCCAGCCGCGATTGGAGAAAGCGGCGTGGGTTGGCGGAGGCGGCATTCCAATCAGCGAGAGACAAGTACAACGGCAAGAGCACAATGCGAAGCTGACATGTCTCAGGTTCCTTAGTAACAACCCGTGCAGTGTTGGGCGCAAACTTCAGAGAAGGGAGGGCGATACCCGGAGCAATGAGCTCGCGACTGGCAACGTGCAATGGCACGACACGGCCCCCCTGCCCTCCAACCTGGAATGGAGCCATGAGGGCCCCCTCCCGATCAGGCCACAAGATACTGGTGGAATACTTGGCGGCGCTCCCTGCCAACATCATGGCAGCGGCGTCCGCCTGCATGGCATCAGAGACCTGGATAACAAGCGGTCCCGTGGGCGTGTTCTTCACCGCCTCCGGCAGATCATCATAGTGCAGCACAGCTCCGTGCCAGTCGCTAGGCCGCAACCTGGCATTTGACAGCGGCGTGCGCGCAGAAGCAGCAGGCACGGGCTCGCCAACGGTGGATTGGTTGGCCTCGCCGCCCTTGGTGCCCTTGCCCTTGCCCTTGCTATTATTTCCCTTGCCCTGACCTTTAACCACAACCCGGTCAACTGCAGGCTGAGTGCTCGGCGTATCCGCTGACGTAGCGGTCCCGCCGTCTGGCGTCCTAGCAGTCCCGCCCAAAGCTGGAGGAGAAGAGCCGTTCAGGCGAGATTTCTTCTTCTTCCTCTTCTTCTTATTCCTTGGCGAGGTGTTGCGCGGCTCATCCGTGGAAGATCCCAACAAACCAGCGATCAAACTGCCTATTCCACCCCCTGGCAATGACTGTAGCGACTTGGCCACATTGCCGCCGCCGGAGACTTGCAACAGCAGCTTGAACATAAGCAGAAGCAACTGCACAAGGTTGCCCTCACCTAGCTGGGAAAGCTCCCGCTCAAGTCTCTTATTTGCAGTGGCCGAAGAGGCACCTGCAGGTCCTGGATGCGAGGCCTCGCCCACCCTAATACCAGCAAACCCCACCCGTCTAAACAACCGGCAGCCGCAGAGAAGCTTCCCCCACTCATGAGAGACGGCAAGGAAACTCGGGCCCGGGCGTGTACAGGCGTCATGCGTACTGCAATTCACGACTGCATCTCCAATCACATCGGCGTGGCGTTCGCCGGCATATTCTAGAAAGAAATCTGGAAAGAAATCTGCACGAGCAGTGACATGTTGGCAAAACACCGGCTGGAGGCATAAAATGCAGATGAGCACACTGAGCGCCCAGCAACTGCACAATGCTCCAAGCTCAACCGGGTGTGTGGATAACTGGACTGCTCCGAAGAGCGGGCACACATCTGTCAACCCTACCCCTGTCCTGAGAAACACCGGCCAGGGACTTTTCGCGACGAACACTGCCATCGCCAACAGCAGCATCCATTCCGTGGCCACCACGTGGAGGTAGTCCCCAAAGCCACAGAACATGGGCATGTCCCAAAGCCCGCGCAACACCTCGGATGCTTCAAGAAAACTTCCAAGGTTCTTGATCCCCTGCAAGCGTCGGTCCGCCGGGTGCATGCACTTCAAACGTAGGAGGTGCAAAAAGACAGGAAGGCTGAATCCACAGCTGCGAGGGGGAAAGACGGTGTCTATCCCATGAGCATGATGGGGACATCTTCCCGAATGCAGTGCCAACTACAGGAGACGTTTAGCCAGGCTCTGTAGAGCACGCGGTCTGATCCTTTGTAGGAGTCGGGGGGGAAGTCCCAAGCCGGATGATGCTCTGTAGGTCCATGTTGATGTTGAGTCGCCAAGAATGTCGACACTTTCACGGACTTGCTTTAATGCGGACCTCGTCATGAGAAGCACGAAGATAGGAGTGGCCAAGCGTGGCAGGGGCGTGGCGAGTCTTGGAGCCTTTGCTGGTTTGGCTGCTTCTTTGGCTCGAAAACGCACTCCGACTGCAGCTGACCCTGAAAGACCACAGCCGCAGCCATGTAGGAACATACTAGAGCTCGTGCTTCAGCTGAGCTCTCAACACCGGCTGGAAATCCTGTAGACTTTTTGCAAAGCTTGCAAGGTCTAAGGCAGCAATCAACCAGCCCCGCCAGCAGCATCCGCTTGGCTTCAGCACGATGCATCCAGACAGCATGTTTCTCTTGCGATGTGCGACCAGTCCCACCGCCGCCGTCTCGAGTGAGTTGCCACGACCGGAGCCTTGAGTGTCGCTTGCAGCGGAGGAGGGAGAAGAACGCCCAAAACAAGCCATGGGCCATGACACCTCCCTCCCTCGCCTCGCCTGCCATGGAGCCTTGAGCGTGAGCTCCCAAAGCAGGCATTCTGGCCAAGCCTGTGGAAAACAAGGCTTCGAGACATAGCAAACACATGCCATGACACTTGCGGGCTACGGGTGAGTCTTGAGACCGATTTCACGTGCTGGCCTGAAGCTTCCTGTGGGGATGACAGTTGCGCCGCCGCAGCATTTACATGACAACTCCGTGTTTGAGGTGGCAGACGGCCGTGGGGGGCGGGCAGGTCCACAGGAGAGATTAGGACCAGGAGAGATGTACTGCGCCAGGGAAGCTCAAAGCGAGAGTTTTTCCTGGCCGCTCCTGCTCCTGCCCGCAGGCTTTCCTGGTCGGCTTTTGCCGCTTTGCGCAGGTTCTGAGTCCTAGGTGCGTGCCGGAGTCTGTTACAGGCTTCTCTTCTCGAGCTGTAGCTTGAATGCACTCTGCGCACATGTGTTTCCTGAGTTTCGGCTGTATGCAGGCCTTCAGATTCCCAGGGTGGCACAAATCGATGTGGCAAGTGTCCCCTGTCAGACTTCCACTGCATTCCCGGCTCCAGACAGATTGCCGGCCACACAGCCAAAACGCCCGGACCGGCGTGTATAGGCACCCCGCTGATGCTTGTGACCTGGAGTTCTGGAAAATGCGGACGATGCGCTGCGACAGTTCAGGGCCAAACCGCAACGACACAACACTTGTCAGCAGTCGACATTACCCCGCGCATCAAATCCCTTTCAGAGCGTGCTTTCTCTTTAGCAGTCTGGTCGGGAGAGCCCTGACCCCAGTCTTCAAGTTCGGATAATTAGAGACCAAGTGGAGATGCGTCCCGACACGGCGCTTTCTCAGGTGCTAGATGGAGAGGTGGTTGCATGGTAGATTTCAGGATCCCATGCAAACGCCCATTTGCAAGGAAAGCGCCTCTGCTCCAACTGCATCTTAGTTTAGATGAAGCTCCTCCCTATGCCTTTCGCAGTGGATATGTGAAGCGGTGTCGGGAGGCTTCAAACACCTTCCTCCTGCGGGGCTGTTTACAGGGCTGCAGATCTCAAGACTTGATTGGTCTGGCCTGGCCCCCTTGTTTTCAGAGGTTGTGAAGTTGTTGAATCCGGGAGCATTAGCTTTGTTAGTTGGCAGCCACGGTGCACAGCAGTCTTGCTGTAACAGAGCAGGGTGCCTAAAGAGCTTGCCCGCAGCTTCACCATTATCTTCGGACTCCGCCACTATCCAGGCCGCTTTGCCACTGGGCGGCACGGATATCAGTTAGAGTGTGCAAGTATCACGCATCATCCGATCGACTGGGCGACACTTCGCAGTGTGCATGAGCCTGCTTTCCTGCGAGAACGAAAACCGCAGATGCCTGTCGTTGTCCTTTCCCTTGCTGGCGGCAAATTTTCGCCAAGGCCCGGAGAAGGCTGTGCTAGCTGAAAGCTTCGCGTTCTTGCTGCTAAGAGAGTGGGCTTCCACAGGCTGCTGGCAGGATGTAGCATGGAACTTGCAGCAGGCTTTCTTATTTCATCCTAACTGAGCTTCTTGAGTTCAGAAGCTGTCCGCAGCGGCGCCCGCAGGGCTCACCGGGAGCTCTTCCAGTTCGGGTGGTCAGCAGCGAAAAGCTTCCTTTCGGTCCTACTGGCCCCACTGCGTTCTGCAGACACTGTCGCCCGCAACCATGGGTAGTGCATTGACCTTCCATCCTTGCATGGTCTTCTTGCGATACTGCTGCCGTGCAATGAGATGCGGAGAGGTGTGCCACCTGACTCCTCAGCGCCTCAGACATGTCAACATCCCCGAAATGAAGGCATCACCGACATCAATACAAATCATGAGCATGGCACTGTGCTCTTGTCGAGTCCGTTCACTTGGGAGCAGCAATTTGGAGGATCCCAGCCGTCATTATCCCAGGTCGGCGACCGAAGTGCCGGGAGATTCGAAGTCGTCTTGCACGAGGGAATCCAGTGTCTCGAGTATGCCTTGCAGTCGCCCTTGAGATATCCACGGACGCGTGTGCCACTCTCCGGCATCCTGGATGACCCACTTTTCTTTCCCGATTTCTTCTGCGCAGGACGAGTTTGCATGTTCGATGCACGAATCCGTGTGTTCCCAGCACGGCCCGCTGCCATGACCTCTCAGGTGCCGCTCTCCTTCGCTGTGCAGAGCGCGACTACGACGTCTGCGCCTACTGCCAAGGCAAGACGGAGGTCGGCTCAGCTGTCATCCCTGGACCCACTTGGAAATGGAAGAAGCTGTGCTCAACACATTTCATGTCCCAGAGCATATACTATGTAAGTTTGACTATCTCCAGGCACTAACTGGGGCAGCCACCCCTAGGCCTAGGCTGTATTGGCACGAGTCCGGCACCGGGAGTCGGGATCGGCGGCCTCGGCCGTGGAGAAAGAGTCCCTGCTGCTATCGACTTTTTAACTTTTTCGTTTTTTAGAAAAACATCCTCGTGGTCCTTTTCCAGGCTTCTCTTAGACTCTGACATGACTGATGTGCCTTGACGGTCAGGCTGGCGTCTCTTTGTCCTGGGGGCGTTTGCCACAACACACCATGGCTTTTGGAACCCTGAAGCGCGCAAAGCCATTCCTGCGATTGTCCACAGTCCGGAGCCCTGTTCACAGTCCGAGATGCCTGTGGGTCTGAGGAGGGCAGCCCTCGCCCTCACAACAGATGAACACCTCTCGATGCCGTGGCTTCTGCAGTTCTAGTAATCTATTGAAACGTTGGATCTGAGCGGAGAAGCCGAGTGTCGAGCTTCCTTCCAAGGACGTGCGTTCTGCAGAGAAGAGCTGCACTTTGAGCCCCACGAAGTGAGCTGAGCGCCGATGTTCTGAAGCTGTCGACTCACAGACTCACAGCGAAGAGCGGACCATGGACATGGGCTTCAAAGGCGCTTGCAGGTTCTTGACTGGCTCATTCCACTGCGATGTGGAGAATCTACGAATGGTTCTCAGCATTAGCCCAGCCTCAGTGTCTCTTCCTCGCCGGGCTTAGCCGCAATGCTTCCTTACATGGAACATCTGACTTTCTGGAGGACTTAAGCGAAATGACCTTCGCCTGAACCGAGTCACCACAGACAAACCACCTTTATGATTCCTACCCTAACGGCGGAAGCACGAGGTGTGACCGTCAGACTGGATGAGGTAGCGAATCGATAACCAGTAAGTCAGTAAGCATGTTTGAATGCCCAGGGGAACCGCAGAAGCCGAATCAATGGTCAAACCAGTGTTGTTCCATGATGGTAAAGCAGTGATCTAACTTGACCATTGGGCCGTGGTCAGGACGTGAATCGTCACTTCACCGAACAGACTCTTGGTACAACCGGACAAGAAATCAACTACGAGTACCTCGCAACCTCACGCAAAGTAGAGCTCCTTCAGACTTAATTACTGCGGAGCCTGAATGATGAAACGGCATGAACTAGCCCAGAAAATCGGAATTCCTTGCAGCTCTGCCACAGGACATCCGACAGGGCATTTCCGGACCACCATCGTCAACCCTAGATGTTCAATTGCAGGCCAAGATAAACGCGAAACTTGTTGTTGCTCCATCAGTACCTGTCGGAGTCGGATTAGCCCGGGTTTGACCTGAGGCCATCTCTGTGTGTGAGCTAGAGGTTGTATAGGGTTTTGTGTTGAATGACTCCTTGCGCATAGGTGCCGAGTATCAGGCAAGGAGATGCTCTTGATTCATTCGCATGGCGATAGGGGGCACATCCCGCCATCCCGACGCTGAGAACTAGCGGTACGGCCGCTGCGTGTTATCAGTCGCTCTTTTGCACCCTAAGTGCTATAGCTCCCTGCCATCACCAAGTCGCGTCCACCATGACCTGCGAATTAAGTTTGTTGGCCATTGCAGCACAGAATGGGCCTTTCAGGCCCGTGTTTTCGCCAGGTGGCAGCCTGGAATCCTGCCTGAGGCACCTAGACGTCTAGAGTCTAGATGTAGATGTTCAAACTGAGACCCCAGACAGAAACAGCTGAAGGCATTGGGGCCTTTCAGGCCTCTGAGCTGCCGCTTTCTTGCAGTTTGCATCGGCCCCGCCGCCGCTCGCAGACCGGCTGGGGCTTTCTGAGACGAGAAGCGAGGCGATGAACCGATGAGCCCGTCAAGTTTCGCACATATCTTGCGAAGGACTCCAGCCCCCCACGCTCTCCAGCAAGTTCGGACCTCACTGGGAAAGCTCTGGCTCCAAACACTCAACTAAACGGACTGAACATTCTTCCCAAATCCAAGAACTCGACTCTTCTCCGGAGTCCGGAGAAACTCCATCTTTACATTGCTGCTAGGCGGCGCGGATGTCACTTGGCGTGCCCAAATAACATGCATCATTCTGCCGGCTTTTCAGCTAGACGACACTTCGCAGAGTGCCTCAGCCTGCTCTCGCCGCCTCTTCGTAGCAGATCCAGTGGTTGGGACTATACCTGCAGATTCCCGGTGAGGCGGTAGACGCGAGCAGCGCAGACACCAGGCGCCCCGCGACGCTGCAAATTTCGCTGTCCTGCACATCGCGCGGCCACCAACCCGTCGCGAGCGGGGAGGAGCTTGTGTGGGTACAGGCACTTGCTCCGGCGGAGTTTGCCGGTTGTCGGAGCTGCGTTTGAGAAGTGGCGTGCAGCAGAAGTCTTCTGCTCCTCAGAGCCGTGGTGTTTGCAGCGTTCTCAAGCTGAAGAGCCTCTGCACGAACGACTAGAGCTCTAAGTCTCAGCCATCAGCCGGGCAAACACGAGGCAGGGCCACGGTTGATCGCCGGATCACCTGAAAGCATTGGTTTCCCATCGAGGGGTCCGTCTTCATTCGAGTGAAACCATGCGAAAGTAACAAAAGCCAGGAGTTCCACCGCCCGGATCTAGAAGCTGTCCTGTTGCCTGTCTGGTGCTTCGCCCGGATGAAGAAGCTGTCCTTGCACCCGTGTCACTGCCTTCCCGCTTTGCTCCCTTGGCTGCGCCCCTGATAGCCGTGCATCCCGTCCTGGCCCGAGACGACGAAAGATCCAGGCAGTTCCTCAGAGCTGCGGAGTTCCTGCTTGTCTTACGAGTCGCTCACAGGGTGGGAATCAAGCAGAAGAAAACGACCGGGGAGCCTCCCAACTTCGGCGTGTCCGCGTCGGATGCACCACTTCTGTGCACGCTGCAGCCCGAAAAGTCGCTGCTTCTCAAGGCCTCGAGTGTTTTGGAGATTATGAAGAGCATCCCATGCCCCTCAAGAAACTGCGAGCAACCAGTCCGCAGCAGAACGGAGGCAGCGCGGCCGAAGTTGTCAGCGCCCGCAGCATGCCTCCACAATATTTTCAGTGAGCAGACGGGCCTCACACGAAGTGCTCGGATTTGGACATTCACACTGAACCTCAGTATACGTGTTACAGTCGTGCAGCTTCGTGATAGACCAGAATCAAGGAGGCGAAAAAAGATGCCAAGCGCGATGCTATGATCTTGTGATGCTAGTGCCAGCCACGTAGTCATTGGATGTTGGAGTGTTGCCATCGCCCTTTGGCATGCCCGCAGGGATGATCTGTGAGAGTCGAAATCATCACACCTTGGGTTGCAGAGCTTCTGCTGCTTCGGCTTCTTCTTACTGCATGCTAGCTGCTAGTGCGTTCGATTTCCTTCGTGTCGTCTTGGGTCTTGAAGTCGAGTCTGTTTAGTCACCCACCATAAGCCTTCGTCGTCTCCAGTTGCATTCGAGGGGAGGGAGATCCCCGTCTGGTTACAGACGGGTTAGGGCTTTCTTAGGGATTCTCAGACGTCGTAATGTTCTTAGGGATTCTTGGCTGGTTACAAACGTGGTAATTAGGCTTGGAGCTTGACCATTTGGTTACAAATGGGCTAGGGGGTTGTTGGGGTTTCCGTTTGGTTACAGGCCGCGTCTGGTTACAGACGCATAGGTAGGGATTTAGGTGAAGGTGATTGAAAAGCTTTGGTATCGGTGTATTTAATACAAATACAGAGTGAAGACCTGTGCATCCTCTCAGTCAGCAAGGAGTTCAGGGTTTTAGGGTTGACAGTTTAGGGGTTATAGGGTTTATGGTTTGGGATTTTTATATGGCTGTTGAGGGTTTATAGGGTTTAGGGCTGGGGGAGCTCTAGGGTTCCGTGGGATTCTGGGATTTCAGGGTGTCAGGGTTCCGTTATGGCTTCCTCTAAGGGAGCCATACGCTCATAAAAGAGGTTTGAGGTTGAGGGTGTACCGTTCAGCTGCATAGGGCTGCATCAGCCGATAATCGGCCTTCCATGGTTGTGAGGTTTGACTCGGGGGATTTGAGGTATCGGGGCTGCTGAAGACTGGACCGGCGTAAGACGCGTACTTCGAGAAGCAACTAGAGATTGGGAATAAACCCTAGACCCCCCCCCCTCCCCCCCGGAAGGAACCCCGAAAGCAACCCTTATAGTACCCTTATTAAGGCGAGCGCCTCAACAGTCTCAATGGAGTTCTGCAGCATCTGCCACCTTCGTCTCACAGGCCCTCCACATCTTGAAAGAGCTTGATGCCCAAAGCCGAGCCCTAAAGAACCCGTACCGTAACCCCAGAGGCAGCCCAAGCTCCGATGGAGAGTTGGTAAACCCCTGCAACCCCAACACTTGAGGAAAGCTGTCGCTTCGACTCACACCTGCCTACTTCTTGGTAGTGAGCGGGGGAAAGGAGAATAGGGACGGGGGGGGGGGGGGGGGGGGGGGGGGGGGGGGCAGCGTGAACTTCGAGAAAGGGGCCATCCCCGTTTATGTGAAAGAAGAAGAAGAAGCTTGACAACGTCCGACGCTTCTTGTTTTCGGACTCGCTGGGCTCTGAAGCGACAGTAGCACTAGTGACTTGCCACACCTCAGCTTGAAAGTTTGTGTTCAAACAGCAGGGTGACCAGGACGACCGATGATGTGAGCGATCGGCAATGGCTTGCGCGATGACGCCCGCAGGAGGGGATACTTTGCAGCTGGAGTTCAGAAGCCTCGCTCGAGCCGCTTCGACGAGAAGCATGTAACAGTATATAAGGTCCCTGGAAAGCCCCAAGTGCAAACAGCCTGACCAAACACGAGAGCCAAGCCGTAGACTCGGATCCGAAATCCTCCAACCCAAGCTAAGACTCTGATACTCTGATCTTTCTTCTGCAAGGGACTTGAACCTTAGCTGCAATGCTCCTCCAGAGAGAAAGTTCCGAGCATCAACAGCGACATGACTTCTGACCATCACCACTGAAGGCCCTGCCGGCCTGCAGGTATGCCACCAATATCTTCGTGCGTGCATACGCAAAGCCCCACCCGCCGAGAACTGTACAAGTAAATGACTATAGAACC